TTCGTTTTCACTTGTTTTGTTTGCAAGCACGTTTAGCATCACATTTAGGTGGGTACACTCGATCAACTCGTTGGGCTTTCTGATGATCTCAGCAAGTTGGATACTACCGCTGAAGCGTAAGTCGTGATATATTTCATGTTTTGTTTTTCAAGTTTTCGATATACTGAGATTACCTAGCAGTGTTCAAGTGCTACCCCATGGTGTTTGGACTTTTTTTAGCTGGCTTCTATGAGGTATGTAAATAGTCGAGAGGGTGGTTGGGTTTCCGCGTCTCAAGATTGTGGAATACATATAGCTATGGCGTGTAAAAACGCAGCATCGATGAGACTCTTTATTACGCTATCGAATTGTGCCTTTATGGTGGGTAATGGCTCTTATCTTCTTGACTGCGTCTGCATCCTTCTGTTCAAGTGCACAATTCCTTCATGCTCGTTCTTTACTCTTGAAATCGACCCTTAGTAGCTAAGGAATGTAGACTTTATTTCATATCTATCATGGAAGTTCAACGTTTACGCTTACGTTTGTCTTTCTTCGCATTCCATCGAGTTCACTCCTTTCTTTAGTCCCCAAATCGGCCATTCCCTCTAGGCAGTATTAACACAAATAGTTCATGTGAAATCGTTTTCTGGTTGGCATGAGTCACAGAGAAAGTCAGTCAAGAAACGATGGAAGTTGAGCTGTTCTGCGCATTTCTTCTTTTTCCTGATCAAAATTCGAACTCGTCGTTTAAGTTTCTGATTACAGAGTAACTCGTAAACTGGTTCAGTATTTCGGTGATGTTCTTGAAGATGATAGAAGCAAACTAGCCGAAAATCTTCAGATTAACAATAGTGAGTTGACTTCTACTAAACAATTTCACTTATACCTGTGTTCATCACAATCATGGGATCCATTTGCGAATTTTTCTCTCTGATGTTATAGTTTAGAGGACATCAAGACATATGTTACGAAGTTCCAATGGGAGGGCGCCAAGTATCCGCTCAAACAATCGCTCAAAGTACTCAGCGAAATTATCGGGAAGGTAAAGCTTGTTTTCTTGTTTCTGTGACTGGAATCCATTAATCTAATCGACCATTTTAAGCAAGTGACGCAAATCGATAATGATTTGAAGCAGAAATCGTTAGCCTATAACAACTTGAAGAATAGTTTGGCTTCAATCGATAGAAAAACGACGTGAGTTACTCTCAATGTATTTTTGCTAATACATTTGCTGTTAACGTGTAGTAGTTGCTCATTCAAGTAGAGAAAAGTCACGGTATACACTTGTATATCTTTTTCTAAAGGCAGTTTGTTGTGGTTGGGTAGTTAAATATAAATATTCGGAAGCTGTGAGTGCAATACTTATTCTGGTCGACGGGCTACTTGAACTCGGTCCTTTAAGCTGCCTCAATTCACGCTCTCGTGTGCGCTCTCTCGGATTATCAGTGGCTCATGACCACATCGACCCACAAATTCAAAACTTTTGCCCTGTAGTTGGCTCAGCCCTCCTCGGAGTGCCTCCTCCCTAGAAGGCTTAGTCCTGGTCTCTCACCTCCTTAGGATTTAGAGCCGATCCAGGTGCCGCTCTTTAATCGTCTGTTCTCTCCAACATTCGTGGCGGGGCCATAGACGAAAGTTCAAGTAGTCCGTAAACCACTTATTATAACTTACCTCGTATTTCACGTGGTTCGCTGATACAACAGACAAAGATCTCGCGACATTGTCAAAAGCCGAAAGACCTTTGTACTTCACTCGGAAGTCATTTGTCAAACAACTGATGGAATTGTGCCCAAATAAGTAAATTCTGTTCAAAGCGCTGAAATGGCTATTTTTGATTGACCCTAAAAGTTTGTTTTCGTCAGGATGAATGCGAAAGACTGGCTGCAACGATATTCGACGTTCACGTCGATGGTTGTTCCAGGATCAACACAACTAATTACTGAAGAAGGCGAACATGCTCTTTATTCTGTAACTCTTTTCAAAAAAGTCATTGATGAGTTCAAGAATATCGCTAGAGAGAACAAGTAAGTACTGAATGTTGGAGAGTTGATTAGTATTTGGAGTTTAGTGTGAATTCAGATTTGTCGTGCGTGACTTTGTGTACGACGAGGAATCGTTGAAAGCAGGAAAGAGTGAACGTGACAAGTTGGTGGCCGAGAAACAGAGACAGTATGCGCCTCTGATAAGTTGGGTCATAGAACTTTCGCAAAGTATTTCCTTTTGCTGCTAGTTGAATTGCCTTTACCAACGAATGAAACTTTCAGATGGCTGAAAATCAACTTTGGTGAGATCTTCGCCGCATACATCCACGTCAATGCCTTACGCAAGGATTTGTGGAATCCGTCTGCGGTATGTTCTTCCGTTATAATGAATCTCTAAAGGTAAAAGCTATCAGACTAGACAGTTGCGCCAGTGCATGCGTAACGCTTCCCGCAACGACAGTCTTGTTCCCCCTTAAGCTAGAGCTTTACAAAGGGAGCTTATGGCGACTACTCTCAACTTAAGGACGAGACCCCTACCCCACGCGCACACCGCGATGCACTTCGTGGATTACGAATTAGCGGGTAACTGCGATACGCGCGGGTTTATGCAGCCATGGAGCAAGCACTTTCGTACAACTCGTCCGGTCCCGATCCTACATTATTCTAGCGGTGGAAGACGAGGAATACCTGTTAATGACTTCTAACAGCGGTTTTCTTTGCTTCGTTTATCATTTTTATTCAATTTCATCCACAACTCCATTATCGACCGCTGTGACCCCACAAGTTCGATTTGGTGATGTTGCTTTGCTTAAATGCTTAGCCCCCAGCTATTCATTACACAGTCCCCAGATCGCTCAGGTCCGCTTTGTGATTTTGAGACTATTGAATATTTCATACCGCCTAAAGCCTATTCTACTATGTTTACCCGCAGTGCTAAACTAAGGAAACCATATCTCTTGTTTTTTTGTGTGGTTTTTGTATTGCTTGATCCTGCGACGCAGTATTACAGTGTAACAGTCATTCTGTATGGATTCATTGCTCGATCGTAAATAATTTTCAGGTATGGCTTGCCTGTGGATTTTCCAACCGCCCTCCTTGAGCCATCTAAAGGATCCCAAGAACGCGCCGTGCAAGCCTCTCACAAATTGTACATTCATCTGGATGGATCGGCTGCCGGACCAATTGATGTAGGTTTATCACTTAGATCTTCTCGGTTGTATTCGTCTGCTTTGAAATGAATATTTATTTACAATTACTGATGACTTTTTCATAATTACCTTATAATCATTGCGCAAGAAATATAGAAAATTATCTCTCCTTTCTTTCGTCAGCGCGTTCGACGCTCAGCATCTGTTTGCTACTAGGCACTTTCCCGTTTTTTGTCGGAAATGTCAGACTGTTGTGAACAATCACTACTCCTGCGATTCGTCCAGCTATTATGAACCTTGTCTAGCGCAATCCATCAAGCGACTTCACGCCGAGGAACCAGTGATCAGTAGCGCGTACTTGCGAGTCCTGCGAAGTTCGCGGGACTGTCAGCAGTGTGCGGAAGATTGCTGGATTTTGAGTGACAACAAATCATCAAACATAATCATCAAAATTAGCTAATTCAGCTGACTCGATTTTGTTTATGGGCAGCTGGAAATCTTACATGAACGCGAGAATAGCATTTGTGCATCTGAAATTTAATGGCCTATCGCCTGCCCGCGAACGTCGATCCGCCGTAGGTGAAAATAACAATCTTTGTCACCTGAGAGTAGTGTCGCCATTTTGAATTAATGTGCCTATCCAATCCGGATCTGATCTGAGTAGCGGTGAATATAACGAATGCAAAGGATACCCTCGAACCATGGTTTTGCACCCCTGAGAGTAGTGTCAAGGCAATGTGTGCGTGGAGAGCACAGACGGCTCGCGGACGGTGAGAGTGATTGTCCGCGCGAAAAGAGGTGGCTGAACGGGCGAGAGTCCTTGACAAACCGTCAACGAATACTCGACCGATTCTCACCATGGTCTAGAGTGGAATAGATTACGAGCTTATAATGGGGCCTTTACAAGGCTGTGGAATAACTGTAGTTGAGGTTAATCCAAAAATGGAGAGCACATGGTAGAACCAAATCGGAGAACGCCACTGCATTGATTTGACCACGATTGAGGGTTCAGGTCCCTTACGGAATCCCATGTGGCAAACTATGCCTTAACTCTTTTCACGGTAGCTTATTTGGTGCTTCCTTGGAGGATGAATGCGCCGTCCATTATCTCTGGCCTCCACAAGTCACCGTTGAGCAAAAATAGTTCGAACAAAAAAGTGGGCATGCATGTTGATGCACCATTAGTGCAGTTATAAAAAAATGAAACATTAAATATTTGCACTGCTGGCTTCACCATTTGTTGTATTCGTTTCGCGTCTGCATTTGGTCACGTCAATAACTATTTTTAGACGTTGGAGGATTCACCAGCGTTGATGTCGCTAGGAGTGAACGAGTACTATCCATACGTATTCTTCAAGCTGAATCTAGATTTCATAGACAAGAAATAGATTATACAAAATTAGCTATGCTTGTCGGATGAAGTACCCAGTGATTGTGATATGCCCTTTACTTACCGTAACTAGAAACCGTGCTCGAATTTGTAAAGTGTCTCCTAATTATTATTTGTAATTAGAAAGTTTCACAGTAATGCGGATGTTTAGGTAGCCTCTACAATTGTTTTACTAGCTAGGGTGATCGATAGATTTTTTCTTCATGTTTAGCTACCTTTGAAGCAGGCACTTGGCAAGGTACAACTGCTTTCAAGGAGTGTGACATGAAAAGTAGTGAATCGCACGCGTGAGCTATAATTTGTCGATTTAACACATTCCACTAGATGTGATTTGTGATAGTGTATTAGTGTTTAAGATTCGATAAACTGCGCTTATTATTATTTGACGAAAAGATTTTGTTATAGTTCTATAATTGCTGTTTGACATATGTGAATGCAGATTTTTGTTCCAAAATGAAATTTATACGGATATGTAAATGTGTATAAATGTAGCATAAATTATCATGGTGGTGAAGTATTTTATCACTCGCTTCTAGCATTGCTCGCATAGCCTGGGCACTAGTTATTGTTTTTTTTTCTCTTGAAAGATTGAGAAATTGAAAAAAAGTTCGTGGTGTGCGCAGAGAAAACGACAAAACATCGACACTATGTGGCCCTGCGCCACACCTTAAACGCGGTTACGGTGGAACCTGCGCGACCATACTGAAAAATCGTTTCTGTGGGTTTGGTTCAATGATGGATACCATCACCAATCGTGGGAGTGGCTCGTGTTGGGGAGTCGTGTAAAGGGTTCCATGATAAGGTTGAAGATCGAAGAAGGGGAACTTACCTAGTGGAAGGGCAAGGGTGC